TTAAGGAGGGGGGGCCAAGTTGTGCTATGTATATGATCCAAAAATCCTCATCACCACCCACCAGCATGACCTTTGATTTCAATAGTTCAATTAATCAAACATTTTCCGACTTTGTGGGAATCTTGAATTCCCGATTAGAAGGGCATATGATGCTACACGAACTCCTTGCATAAAATATTTGTTATTGTATAACAAATACTTCATTCTTTTTTGATAAAGACTGTGATCAGAAAGCAATAATATTTCCACTTTTAGCAAACAAATTCATTTCATTTTAAAAATATAAACCGTTTACTTTTAAGTTCTATGTGATGGATTATCTTTAACTAATCATTGCATCACGAAGTAGGCAATCAAGCTATTTTCCTTACTTTTAGATTTCATTTGTGACTTAAACAATTATAATGGGCAATGACTCCTAGAAAGCTAAGTATACATATATAGCAGTCAGGTGATGGGTGATGTATGTAGGTAGGTAGGGGAACTCTGCCATTGCTTTCAGCTAATGTAAATATATACGTCGCTATCACCGTGTCACTTCTAGTAGTATCAAACAGTTCTTCTGTTCAATTATATTTTATTTGGTAAAGCTGTATTATCTATCCCTACGAAATTAAAACTTATTTCAATTCTTTGCTTAATTTCTCTGTCGTAATTCAAACCTTTTTCAAACTTAGTTGTATAGTATATCTACACGATATAAACTCTAGTGAAAGATAAACACGAAAACTATAAATATGTTAGACATGTTGATCACTAATTAACACGATTAATTGTTGACGATCCTAAATGAAAATTGCTTCGTTATTTTCTTTGAAAATGAGAAGAAAATATTCAAAGAGAAAAATTGTAGCAACACAATACACATGCATGTATATATATATATATATATATATATACAAACAAAAAGCCCTTTTTTTTTGTCAACCAGAGACGAAAAGCTTAAAACGTTACATCTGCCGGTGGAGACATAAAATTGAAAGCAGTTGGCGCAGCAATTAACATAGCATTACTCCAACTCCCGCCGCAGAAAATGCTAAATGTCATGAGCAGCTTTCTTAAGAGCACAGAATAATTGTTATAAGATTATTGGTGTGACAAGCATTACCCATTCAACAGTAGAGAATTTCTGGCTATAATATGTAGAGAAATTCTGGCTTCACTATAGTGCCTGCAGATTATAGTGCCTTAAACGGACAAGAGGACCTATTTCTTGGGTCACATGTTCTCCTAAGTACATGACCATCAACATAAAATATATTCCATAACCACTTCAATATAAAGCACTTGCTATAAATACGTATATTGTCTTCATGTAATTGATGAATTGGTCCCTTTTTTTTTATTATTATTCACTCTGAGATTAATGTTATTGAGATATAGAAATAGTAGTTTGTAGTACAGTTGTAAAGGGTAAACGGATTGACGTTTTATTATATTGATTTACTAAATCAAACAATGTTGAAATTATTTACGATTGTCTTTGAAAAGGTTTTTAAATTATTTTTAGTTTATATGATTAGCTTAATTTTTTCTTTGCGTGTGTGAAAGTAGAAGATAAATTTATTAGAAAAAATAAATTAATATTATTGAGAAAGTAAAGAAAAACATACATTAGCCAAATTATATTTATGCATTTGGTATTTTGAAGCATTTTTTGAAATTTTATTTCATGCAGCGTTTAAAATGTTTAGTTTCATAGCTTATTATTATTTTATTAGTATCTTCATATTTTAATACGATTTCTTTTTGTATTTATATATTTTTATGTCATAGGACATGTCAATACTTTAATTGACCAACTTAGGGTTTTCAAAACAAATAAATACCACTCCTAATTAAACGTTTTTCTTATAAGCCAAATAAATTATAATAAAAGAAAGAAAGCAGGTTTTAATTAAACGTTCAGTACTTGTTAATTGGCTTCCAACAACATAACGCTGATAAAGGTTATAGGAGTTAAACGAATCTATCTGGCATATATTGTTAAACGTAATATCCTCAGCCAACCCGAGCTGGTGTAGAAAGTTAAGAATAGTATCTGTGTTGTTAAATAATGGCATAACGATGGCCAAGTGAAGACTTAATCATGACCAATATCATGCCGATTTTCTCTACATTACAATAAGTATTGCATCATCATTTGTAGAAGTTTAAGATGGATAATGATCAATTGATACATTAATTAAAGTTCAAATATCTATGTCTCGGATGCAAAATATGATCGTACACGCGCACGCATATGTAATTTTAGTCTATTTGACAAGAAGACAGTAAAGCAAACCCCTGAGCCTTTCCATAGGCACTTAACATATATAAATTATTCATGAATCAACAACTAAACTTTTAAATCAATTTATCTCTGTATGACAGTCCTTATAACCAAGCGACATAAATATTAATATTAAAATTATAATTCTTTTAAAATATTATTAGTAAATGAAAAGGAATATTTTTATATATAATATTAAAATTTATAGGTCTTGATGTTAATATTTGATCTTAGTCAATAATAAATTTGAAAAAAAATTCCAACTACTTTATGTTTTCAATTTTATAATCGTGTTTGTTTTTTATTTTTTAATAGGAAAATATGAATTAATATCTTTCTGGAACATGTCAAGAATTAAGGAAATAATACATTATAAATGAAAAATAGTTTCTTTAATGTATATAATTTTGAATATGCTTTCGTATCCTTGTGTTTAAAAACAAAATTTAGAGATCTATCATTAGTGTGTAGTTGAAAATTAAAAACAAAAATATTAAACAGAAAATGTCTTTTAGTTTTCTATATATTCAAAAGAATATTTTTAAACTCTCTTATTCTATCTTCCTAGTAATTCTTTTATTTATTAAATACAAATTTGAATATTATTTTATATTTTTAACATATTAAGTATATTGAATTTTTATTTAATACTTTTATAAAATGTTAAAAATCAATAGGAAAACATAAAATTAAATACTATTATTTCAACAAACATAATTTAAGAGTAAAGCTATGTTAGTCTGTTAAATTTTTTAACAACCATCCTAATATTTTATAAAAGGATATTAAATAAATAAACATCTCGAAAACATAAATATTCAACACTTTTTTATTAAATAAATATGAAGATTAATAAAAAAAAATTGTAATAAAATTTATATTACTCAATTTATAATTCCTTAAGGAGACCGTGTCTAAATTTCTGGTGTCATGTTTTTTTTTAAAAAAAAAATATTTGAAGTGCATGAGTTAATTAGAGTGGGAATGGGAGACATGCCCACATTGGTGATATTATTATTAGATGCAAAGTCATAGTCATTCTTTTCTAGTGTACCTCCATTTATTACCTTTGTCTTTTGCATCCATTCCTTCTCCATCCACTCAATGCTGTTTGCCTTCTCCCTCATAACCTTTTGCCATTTAATTATCAGTTTCCACTCTTATCTCCCTGTCTCTCTCCCTTTGCGTCTCTTTTGCAGTTAGGGTTTCCTCTTTAAGAGTGCTCTTCCTCTAACAAATCTGCGACTAATATCTCTCATTGGCTAAGGCTCTTTTGTCTTGTGAGGGTAAAAGAGCAGCTCCTAAAGACCCTCCCACAAGGGAAAAAATAAAATAAAAGGTACTTCCCTTTTAGTTCTCCTGATCAAAGAAACCTACATCACAAACAGGTAAAATCATGTTCATGTATAGCTTCCCCTCTTTGCTCCTTTTCTTTGTGCATGTATAGTTCATTTCTCTGTTTATGTTCTTTTAAGTAAAGTACCTGTTGCAAGACAAAATGGATCCTTTTTTGAGAAGTCACTATTTAGGGCTCTTTTCATTTTATATTATATATATGCTTTTCTGATGTAGCCCTGAATATAATCATCACTCGTTGCTGCAGCCAGATCCCTGGTAATTCAGCTGATTTAATTATAAGTTTTTATTTGATCAAGCAGCTGAATTCGAGCGGAAGAAAGATACATATAAAGTTTTCTTTGTCTTTGCTAGTGTATGGTTGTTTCTTAAATCAGAAGATAAAAAAAAATCCAGAAACTGAACTTAAGGGGGAAATTAGAAATAAAACTATTTATGAAGGGAGTTTGAAGTTTAAAAATAAAAGTTCTTCATTGATTTTTTTTCTTCCTCATAAATTGAAAAATGAAGAGAGAAAGGAAAGATGAAAAATATATTTTAAAATGAAATAAGAAAAGTTTGTGAAAGAAAAATAAAGGATAAAGATAGTCGTATATATAATATAATATATAATATCAGAAAGTGATGACTAATCCTAAAATTAATTTATGTATATGTCTATATTGGGACTTTCAAAATACATACATTCAAAATACTTACACACACATGTTGGGGAAGGGTCAGTGGAAGAGATTTTAGGAACGAAGGATCATAAAGGATTAAAGGGTCTATAAGATCGGCCTAATTAATTATCCTATTTTAAAAATCTTTCAAAAACATTTTTGGTTAGTGTTACTGATATATTATGCTCGGGTAATAAATAACAATATTGATGCCTCTATACCCATTTCTTTGTGATTATTGTTGCTGATTTTGATCAAAGAAAGAACACACACAAAATAAATAAATAAAAAACTGAACGAGAAGAGACCCAAAAAAAAAAAAAAAGAAGAAGAAGAAGAATGGGAGTAGAATAAAGAGATGAAATGTAACTGAAATAGCATCAGATTCAATTTTCTGTTCCGTGACCATTCACTTTTGTAATAATTTTGAAACTAAAAATGGTTACTAGAGAACAACTGCACAGACTGTTTGGTCACTGTTATGCTTCAGTAAAGCCAGGATTTGGGTTCAATTACAGATTTACCCATTAATAAGAAATATATAATCTCACCATAAATCTTCGTGGAAATTGGTAATCTTCTTTACCTTGCATGAGTCTCAATCTTCTAATTTAAACTTGTCTGAACAAAAAAACTCAACGTAGACGAGAAGGGAAAGTGTTATTGTTTATTGATTTCATGTCAATCTTCCTCTCACAGGGAAGAAAAACATGGCATCATCCAGCTCTTACAATTCTCCATGTGCTGCTTGCAAATTCTTGAGGAGGAAATGCCTTCCAGGGTGCATCTTCGCACCGTATTTCCCACCAGAAGAACCCCAGAAATTCGCCAACGTGCACAAGATCTTTGGTGCCAGCAATGTGACTAAGCTCCTCAACGAACTCCTCCCTCACCAAAGGGAACATGCAGTGACTTCCCTTGCTTATGAAGCAGAGGCACGTGTGAGAGACCCAGTTTATGGCTGTGTTGGTGACATCTCTGTCCTGCAAAGGCAAGTTCAAAGGCTTCAAAGGGAGCTTGATTCAGCCAATGCTGATCTCCTTCGCTATGCTTGCAATGAAATCCCTCCACCATCTCTTCCTGTGCCACCAGCAATGACAACTTCAATTCAACAAATGCCACAAAGGTCTTTCAGTGCAAGATTTGGTAATGAAGGAAGTGGGTTTTATAGGCCTTCTCCTACCACTTATTCTTTTCCTTATTCTCTTCCTTGGACTGATACCCCTTCTGATGATAACAATGAGAGAGGATGTGGAGGAGGAGGTAATTTGTGATTGTGTTTGAAGAGTGCACATCTAGGGTTTATGCCTCTTGAGGCATGTCCTGCAATATTTATATATTAATCTAGCTATGGTCTCTGGCTATGTAGCCTTACTTGGACTCTTCTGGCTAGGTGACTGAAGGTCTACTGTTTAATTTAATTTGATGAGGTTTTTGTTTTGTAGGTGATGAACATGTGTTGTTTAAGACCTAAGCTACCAATAACTTAGGTAGTCTTTCCAAAATCTTTAGTGTTAAATAAGTGGGTGGTAGAGCATGCATAGTAATGTATGACTACTACTAGACCTACTCTTAATTGTGTATTCAGTGCAAACTCCATAGGCATGTGCAGTGTGCATGCGGAGTTGACATTCTCTGTCATTGTTTATGATTAAGAATAAATGAGCGATAACGTTACTTGATTCTAAAGCCTAACTCTACGGGTTTAGACGCTTATAGTCCTACTTACCCTATATATTCCCTGCCTTTGTTTTCCACTTTAATTTTCTCTTATTCATGCTTGGACCACCGTTTTACTTTCTCTTTGTTATTTTAACTCCGTTATTAATTACCCCATTTCATATAGATGTTTCAAAATCCAAACCAATGATTTGAATACTGTTTTCCTTTGTTATTTACCATAGTTGGCAAACCATCCATTGAGTTAATTTTTTTCACGAACCGTTAAAAAGTTGCTTCTGTAGTAAAGTTTGCTTTAGCTCAATTAATTAACCTCAAAAGATAATTTCCCTAAAATAAAGGCACAGAAGTAATGTCAGTGACTGTGAAGGAGTTGCCTTGATTATTGGCAAAATGTCACAATCAGACACGGAAACAAGGTATTACGCTCCCTTCACAGACTACATAGGAACTCTCTCAAGTCTCAATCTCATATGTTGTAAAAACTTTTCATGTAAAAGTCTGTTTCCTGGTAACCAAAACAAGTTGTTAGTGCTATATAGGTAGTCTCTATAGGGTCTTGGGAAAGCACAGTGGGTATATATATTGGGATGGTGTTTGATGAACTCAACTAACAGGAAAACGAGCAGTGTTTTTCTGAAGTCGTGTCTCTTTGCAATCCAAACTTGTTTTGAATTGTAGTTTTCATCATGTACCGAGAAAAAGGTGGATGATGAATCTCTTGGTTTTAAAAAGACTTGGTCTCTATATAGTCTTCCCCGTGAGAGTGTGGCTCAGCTCCACCCTCTCTTTTTTCTTGAATAAAAAATTGTGTGAAATAGTGAGCCACAGTCGCTATACTCATTGGATCCAATACAGAAAGTAATAGATATATAGTAGTTCATGCTTAGGGTTTTCAGCTTTTATTTTATTTTATTTTATTTTTTGTCTCTCTTCCAATAAGTACCCTAGCTATCCCTTCGAAACTGTTACTATCAACCACCAACAATACACTCCCCCCCATACAGTACAGTGAAACAGTAACCTCTCTCTCTCTCTTATAAACTGCAGCTACATTGACAACAACTTGCATGCATACGAAATAATATCTTTTATTTTTGTTGCTAATTTCTGTAGCTTTATTAATTAAACCAATAGAATCTGAATTAATCTTAGTTTATATTCTCTTCGTAAAAAGTCATAACTGTTTATTTCTAGGCAAGTGTTAGTTTGCAATTTCGCAGGTAAAATTCTGAACCGATCCTGGTTAGATCAGAATCGTAGACGTCACAGCAATTAACCTTTTGAAATCCGAGAAAATAATAGGGTTAGGGTTTTTATTTTTCCGATGATCTCATTAATGTTTTTAAAAAATAAGACAAAAGAGAAATCAATGTTCCAACTTACACTTGTGCAGCCGCACGCAGTTGCTCTTCATGTTCCCTGAAGAAAAGTAACAGTAAAACCTTTCATCTTTCAATACAAAACCAAGCCGTCATTTTATTCTATGCATATATAAAATACAAGCATGTTATGAATCTACAAATTAAACTGTTAAACCTCACTGAGAGCGCGAAAATCAGTTAACACAAAATTATTCTAGTCTAATCAATAACTTTCTGTAATTACATCAGATATTCTAAAGAGAGCTTTACCGCCTATATTAATTCTAGCTGATTAACTTGTTTTCTGTACATGATATATGTGATTTAGAGAAAATAAATAAATAAATACTATTTTTTTTATTTTTTGTTTTTATTTAGAGAGAAGAAGGAAGAGATTATGAAATAATGAAATTATAAATCCTAATTTTCTTGGATGAATTTTCTTTCTTACTCGTATTAATGAATATTGATTGATTCATTCGTTCTTTGATGTGTGTCGTAGTCTTTGCAAGGTGAGTGAGTACAGAGCAAAATGCTCACAACCTCTCTTGTGTTTCTGGCTTCACTTTTGTCAGTATCACTTTTCTCGCACTCGCAGCACACAGCACGGACACTGTTACACTCATAAGAATCCACATAAATCACAACATCCCCTTTCCCTATCAAAGAAAAATATGAGTAAGAGGGACCCTGACAGAGAGACCCTCTTCCTCTTCTTAGCTATCTAGAAGTGAGAGTCACGTCCATAATATAGTCCTCCAATTCATCACTCTCTCTCTCTGACCCTGCTTTCTCCTCGAGATCACCAAAAGCCTCGACTTTTTCTTTCTTGGAATTTTTGGTGAACCAAATCTAATCCCTGATCAACTTTCCCTCAGAATATCTTCCTTATTTCCGTCAAGTCCCTTTTAATTGCAATTATTATTATTATTTATATATTTAAAAATGATGCAAAATAATTAATTAAAAAAGAGTGATATAAGCACTGTAGAGGGTCAGAGAAAAGTGAGTATGGCTTTTCTGAACTTGTTGTTCCTCTGAATGAATGCTATAGTTATAATTTCAGAATCCATCAATCTTCCTCTGAACAAAGACGTGGAAAAGAAGCAAAGAGCAGGTGAAAAATTGCAGGGTGAGGTTATTAGAAAGGACAAACATGTGGTGGAGGGTGTTGGGGGGGTCCTATCCCTATTTAAGCCCCCACAACAAATTCTTTATGTCCTCGTGGACCTAAGAAAATGGGTCCAACACTTGTATCTTTCGCTCGCGTTACATGATTTCCATGTTCAACCTCTCTCTCTCTCTCACCCCCAAACATGTACTAATGTACTTACGTTATTCGTCTCATGTGGTCAAGAGAGACAGACAAGTCTATTGTCATGCTAATAGTATTTACAGACAGTCATTGAGACAAGTATACGTGTACATGTGTTGTGTCAACTTCAATTGAGTGTACCAAAAATATTCCAACTTTGAAATTCAACACCCAAACTGCTTATCAATTTGGGCAATGATGTAAACTCCAAGTCTTGACAATTACTTCTCACGCCCAGGTTTTATTTCTCATCATTTCTCTCTTTGGATTTTTTCATCTTCATACGACCATGCCCTTGCCATCCATTTCAAATATATGATATGAATTATATTTTATATACATATAGTTGTAAGTTTAGGTAGACGCTATGATATTCTAGTCTATGATGGAGAAAGTTTCTCACGTTGAAGAAAACCTACAAAATACTTTCGTTGCAGTTTTTGTCTCGAGAGTTAGTGTGATAAATATTCTTTTAATAAAAATTTATTAATTTTAGATGTTTAAAGTCAGGTTTAAAGGCAGAGAGGTGAACATTTTTTTCAATAACATTCTTTTATTTATTGAAAAAAAATATAAAAGAATTTATGTATACTTTACCTAAAACACAAATCAAATTTAAATTTGTAACCTGTCACAATGTGAGATTGTTCCTTACTGCAATCAAGTAACTATACGGCATATATATATATATATATATGCATGACTTTTTCTCGGTAGAATATAACTTTAACCTTCCCCTTAAAAGTAAAAAGCTATTTGACTGGGAAAGCCATCTTTGACTTTCACTAGCTAGCCCCCTTCGTTAATCTGCAACCCCAATCAATTGGGGATAAGAATATTTCTTAAAGTATATTATTTTAACATGGAACTGCCTATAGCACTGATAGAAATTCTTACGGAAGGAGCCTCAGCTTATTATACAGATGATTGTGGACTAAATTTGAAAGAGTATTTTATATTTTTTTAAATTTTTAAAAAATTAAAGAGTATTAACATATTTTTTTAATTAAATTATTAATTTTATTATTTATTAGTATAAAATTAACAAAAATGATTATTTCACATGCAAGAGAGAGTACAAAATCTTCTCAGTTATAAAAGGTGCTTATAAATGTGGCTACTTATGTAAAGCATTGTGATATATGCTTCATGGAATACCACAATAAGCATGCTCTAAGCTTCGTATATATTAATCTAGCATGTAAGAGATCTTAATTTTACATATAAATTGTAAATTTAAAATCCAATGGATACACGTAGAAAAAGGAATTAAAGACGTTTTCAGAAAATATGAAACGAATGTGCAGGAACTCAAAAAATTGTATTTTTTTTCTCTTTGTTCTCTCGGTTACCGATTAATCATAGATATTATCAAGCAATTTTATTCATTAATTTCAGTTACTACAACTGTTATATAATATATACCCATTTTCATCACCAGCCAGGTACATATACACTATAATATATTTTCTCCCACTACTGTTGCCCCGACGATTATTTAATTTTTTTAATTTCATTTATTTGTAATTGACCTTTTATTGTTTTAATTTTCTTAATAAATAAATTAGCAGAAGATGCATATTTTATTATAACAATATATTAGTAAAATGCTATAAATGTTACTCTTTTACATTTTTATAAATTAAATTTTAATCTGAACATTGTATATTCGTCTAATGATAAGAATATATAGATTAGTTCCTGTAAGAAATTTGTTGGTGAATTTGTATGACACCGGAATGAGAGATTTTTTAATAATTTCCAACTGCTTTATGGTGCCCTAAAACTATGTATGAGTTCCACATAACCTACGTTTCTTTTCTCTCTTGTTAATGTTAAGTGATTGAAGAAGAGAGTAAAATGCAAGAAGAGTATGTGACAGACATATCACATACTTTAGTTATGTTTGGTAAAA